TGCCTTCAATGCAAAGCGAAGCAAGTGCAACGCGTAATCAGGAGGTAAAGGAGTTCGAATCTCGACGAGAGCATTGAACATTTTTCATGTCTCCTGCACCGACAAACCTAACGAATCTACAGTATTATTGCCATTATTTCACTCAAAAAATGCAAGTGCTGCCAAGATCTGTTTTAAATTAGCATAAAATAGTAAAGAAAAACACAATGTATTCACATTTTGAGAAGGTATTTATTTGTAAAGAGATTTTTGTACCCTAGTTAAAGGTGGAAACATGCCTCTGGTAAGCTTGTTTATTAACAGGAAAAGTGTATTTTATGCTGCGAAATGCTACAACCGAATTTGATGTTGGTATTAGCAAGACAATAACAAGCTAGGAAGAAAACAAACTAGTACGGTAACCCTCAATTAGAATTTAATATTTTGCTAGTATTTTACTAATAAACCGTGGTTTAATCATGCCGAATGACATTTTACTTTTACGTGATATTACGATTTCGAACAGTGTGCTATTTTACCAAGCTAAATATAGACTACTCATTCATCGTGCTGCTAAAACATAAATCGAATCATTTCAATTAAAACTGGATGGCAATAAACAGTTAAAATCTGCGCTAACACTCAAGAGTTTTTTTGTTTGCTTAATTTAAAATGAATGCAAGTGTTTCCTATGCAGTGTTTAGAGAAAGACAGAATTCTTTTTGCTGCTCAACAGCTGTGTTTCCTATGCAGTGTTTGAGAAAGACAAAATTCTTTTTGCTTCTCAACTGACAATATCTTAATAATGAAGTTTTTACTGGGAACTTTTAATAGATCCCATCCATATGCATCCTGCCACTACGAACAGAGCAGCTGAAGAGCAATGAAATATGAAAAAATAACACACTGCCATAAAGATTTGTTTTTGATAATCACCATAATGAAACGGTGAAGGTAATGGTATGATGGTACGGTAAAACCATCGAAACTAGTCCTGTGAAAATTTGCAAATGCACTCTATGAAAAAAAAAAAAAAAAAATTACGCACCAAGAAGGAAACACCAGATTCCTTTGAAATATCGTATGCATAAATGTTTGGACCGCGATCAGCGGATCGGAACTGCTCATCCAGCAGATGTATCTAAGGAGCTGCTGTTTTTGAACTGTTGTTAAAAATTTCTGTTGCATTGCGATTCAGGATACCTTTCAACGATTAAAAAACGCGTCGCCGTAGGATTCGAGCTCATTACGAGCAACTGTCAGAGTTTGAAAGAGGGCGTATCATTGGCTTGAAAGAGGCAGGTTGGACATATCGGAGAAGTACTCGTCATATGAGTCGAAGCAATGCGGCGATTAGAAGATGCTGGCAAGTATGGGTGGACAATGGCAGATTTCAACTTCATTATGGTACACGAGTGTCCACCATGACCATTCACAGGCGGCTGATAGAGCGAAATCTACGCTCGTACCGAACGTTACGCCACCTGCCACTTACGCCTGCATACTGTTGAGCCAGATTATAGTGGTGCTTGGCTCGATCAGATTGGAATGATGTTGACTGGGGAAGTATAGTCTTTAGCGACGAATCCCGCTTCCAATGGTGTCGTGACGATCATCGAAGATGTGTCTTGAGACGCCCAGAACAGTGTGCCGATCCCGTTTTCACTATTGCACGCCACACAGGCCCTCAACCAGGAGTTATGGTATGGTGTGCTATTTCCCTTGATAGCGGACCCCTTTGGTCGTCATTAGAGGCACATTTACAGCACAGCGGTACGTCGACGACATTCTGAGACCTGTTTTGTTACCGTTCCTTTTTCAGTACCCTGGCCTTATTTTTCAGCAAGATAATGCCAAACCATATACGACACGTATTGCTAGGAACTGTCTTACAGCTTGTCAAACACTTCCATAGCCAGCCAGACCGCCAAATCTCTCTCCCATCCAGCATGTCTAGGATATGATGGGAAGCGACTGCACCTACCAGAGAATGCTGATGCCCTAGCCCGAAAATTGGAGAATTTTGGCAAGAAATACCACAGGAGACCATCCGGGAGCTTTATCAGTCTATGCCACGCCGTGTGGCAGCTTGCATCTAGGCTAAAAGTGGGTTAACAACTTATAGAGCTCGTTACTTTGTAACTATGTAACTTCGAAATAAATCATTCAGTTGTTCTGAAATTTTAATCATTTTCTATTCTGCACATAATCTTCCTATCCGCAAATTTTTGTCTCCATCGGAACTCCTTCGTGGGGGCGTCGATTTTTTTGTTATAGAATGTATAACGCGGATTTTTGTAGTTTGACTTCTAAATTAATATTTGTTTGGCGTGTTATTCTATATTAATTACCTTTTTCCTGCTTAACATCATTTTTATTTAGCCATTTTTCTTAGTCATATCATTTTTACTTAGCCATATTTAATGACATCGTGTGATCAAATATATATTGACAAGGGAAATGATATAGCGTCATTAAAATGTCTTAGGAACAATGTACAACAGTATTAGCCAGATCCATTTTATTGCCTCAAGTTGATCGCCGTTTCGGAAGCTCTACATATACCTTACCGGCGTTGTTGCCTTATAAGTTATTTTCTCTTCTTCTCGCATGCCTTCGTGGTGTAATTGGAAGCATACTCGACACGTATTCGAGAGGACCAGGGTTCGAGTCCTGGCGAAGGCATTGCACATTTTTCCATGTCTTCAGCTTAAAAAAAAAAAAGAAAAGTAAAAAACAATCTAATGACTCTACAAGTGGCGTCCGAACTAAAACGTAGTGGACTATAATTTGTCACCAGCAGGATTTGGTGACTATGTTCCCTAATTCCCAGTCGCCCTTTAAAAGGGGGAGTAGATGAGGTACTTTCTCTCTTCTTTCCCCATGCCTTCGTGGTGTAACTGGAAGCATATTCGGGAAGTCCGGAGTTCGAATCACGGGGAGGGCACTGCACCTTTTTCATGTTTCCAGCAACAAAAAATGTAATGTCTCTATAGCCTCACTGCTAATGCAAGTCCTTTTGAGAAGTTATTTTATTAATTAAGTTATTTATTTTAGATATTTCCTGTTTTAAGCATCCGTTTTCCCCACTTTTCTACAGTCGACAAGTGCCGAACTAAAATCATATATCTTCAGTAGTATGGTTTCACAATCATTCTGACGGTAGATTGTATCATGAGCGATTTGCAAACACAACCACCTAATTTGTATGCTAATACAACTTTCTGCTGCACTCTCAGCGCCATTTTAGGTACAAGTTTTAACATAAGACTTATTTCAAATGAAAACGAATTAAGTTTCAAATTTAATGCACCATTTACCACTTCTTTTACAATACATAGATACACATTACATTTACTTCAAACATAAGGTTTAAACCTTCAAACATGTAGTTATATTTCAGACTCAATCCTTCCAATACTACTTTTTAAAAGTATACCACTTTCATCTTCGAACGGTAATGTAGATTTGAACGCAAATCGCAAGATATACACCGCACGGGAAGACAAAATCCGAACAGCAAGAAATTATTATTGTAGAGTAATGAAATTTCGGCACTATATTCATCTAGGTAACATATTTAATTGATTAAATTTTCAAGATCGCAGGTTCATGCAAGTGCCAGAAGAGCCATTTCAAATGTGAAATGCTGATATATTAGTAACCGGTGTGACCGCCAGAATTTTGAAGGCAAGCATGCAAACCTGCATGCACTGTGTCATGCAGGTGTTGGATGTCAGTTTGTGAGATGGAGTTCCATACCTGTTCCATCAATACAGAGATGGTTAATGCTGGTTGTGGATGAGAAAAAAACTGGTATGCCATTTTAAAAAAAAGTTCCACTTTATGTCAAAATACCTAAGTTGGAACAACTCTCTATATAAATATAATATATAAACCTACGTCGCGCTTTCGAAACATGTAAAACGCTAGTCAAATTTCGTCAATCAGCCCAGTAGAACGAGAGGTATAGAACTGTCCCTTTTTATATGTGTAGATTGTACATGTGGATTTACAAACTTTATATTTAACTATTATTTCGCTCAACAGTATTCACCGGTTATTAAAACGTAAATACTGGCTATATAAAATAAGACTTGTTATTTTCTCACAAAATTTTCCTTTCCAATGCTTCTTTTATTATCATATATGAACAAAACAGTACCTATGAGCCAAAAATGTATCGCCGTAAGGAAAGCGGATAATCAGAAAATATTATTCACCTTATTGTTAATGACATAAAGCACAGAATTTAAAATCTGCAATTCAAAGAAAGCGTATCTGTTTTGCTACTTTTTCTTCTGCATTAAACATCCATGAAAAATTTCCAATTATCATGCTGCAATATCTTTATTATATGCGGCTTAAGTGTCTGTTTGTTGCCGATAGTTTATTGGTTGCTTGTGTAATTATACTAGCCAATGGGGAAGTTGCCATGGCATTCAAATAGTCTATATTCACTGATACCATACATGCAGTAATCATTGTTTTAATTAAATTATCATGGTATTTAAGAACATTTAAGTATTTTTAATTCATACAATTGTTGCTTATTATGCATTTAACTATATTTACATATGAATTACATAGAAACTTGCAAACGTTGAGAAAATTAAAGGAGACGAAACCAACTAACGAGTTGTGCGTAGTATATCTCATCAGGTAGGTTTACCCAAACTCCTATGCTAAATATCCTTTCGCGTAAAGAGTTTAAAATTTTGCCCGATTTTATTCCGACATTATATTTTAAACTGAATTTTCAGTTGAATGCAAATTGAACGTGTCGGAGGAACGTGAACATTTGCTTTCATTAGCAATCATCTGTTTTTTGAAATGGTTTACAACTGAGCGTGTCGGGGGGAACGTAAAAATTTGTTTGCATTAGCAATCATCTGTTTATTGAAATGGTTTACAACTGAACGAAAATCATTTTAATTACAATTTATAATATCTAGAACAGCGGTCATTTCATATGACCGCCGGGCTTTCTAGTAGCATATAATGAAAACACTCATACTTACATCCCATCTTTTCAGACCGTTTCCATCAGTATCATTCAAGTCACTTTCATGATCTTCATCGTAATCGTCTTCAAAAGTCGGTGCTCGAAGTATCTTCTTTTGTTTTATCAAATTTTCTCCTGGCATGGTTTGCTGTTGCAGAAAAAAAAAAAAAAAAAAAAAAAAAAAAAACGAAATAAAATCAGAAATATTATTTTTCATGCAGTTTCATGCAGTTTTAAGTTGCGAAATGAGACATGAGATAAAAAAATAATTCTTTTATGACTTACGCGCATGTAAATTACAGTCGAACCTCGTATAAAGTTTGATTTGCTTTGGCAGCGTAAACCGGTATCAAGCTTCTAAGAGATGTTAAGCGAGTTATCACTGTGTTTGGTCAGAATTACAAAGTCTTACGAATGTTCTAAAGCAAGCCTTTTTATTAAATCACAGCTTAGAACATAAATGCACGATTCGTGCTTACAAACGTCGCCAGCCACTCGTGGCGAGATAAACTTAAAGAAATATTAAATTCGGATTTAAATTAAATAAGCTAATAGTCCAAGACTGCACAATTCAAACTGGCTCAAAACTTCTTACCGGCCTAACAATTTAAATATCGGCGACTATAATGCAAAGCCGAATAATAATAATACAATCTTATTTGAGCTAGCTAACTTAGCAATATATGGCCTTAAGAAGGCGGGTTATTATTTTATTGCACATTTTACATTTGTAAGTAGGAAAATGTTATTAAAATTAATATTTGTAAGCATTTAGAACAACCTTTTGGCTCTAGTGTAGAATTGGGCTCCCCTTCGATTAGCGACAAATTTTGTTCAATTTTGGCGACGAAACTCCATTTCTGGTTACCATGAGAGTTTTAACTTTGTTTTAGCTTCCTGATTTTTTTTTTTTTTTTTTTTTTTTTAGTGAAAATAGATGTTAAATGGACAAAGTTAAGGCAAAGTTTGTGCAATTCTCTGATATTTTTTGAAGTGAAAATAGATCGATGTGTGCAATTCTTTGACTTCTTACTTTGGTTTTGTGTCGCGGCCATCTTGAAATTGTGCCTCCCTGGCGCCGATCTTGGCGTCAAAAAAGAATCACCAAAAAAACAAGGGGCACCCAATTTTAAACTTTCACCCAACCTTTTACCGCAAATAAAATAATAACATTTCCCTGGAAGTTGTCTCTTCTAACAAACTGACAGGGAAGTCTTACGGTTGTGTCGCCCAGAAGACAGTGGTTAGTGACTCTGACTACCGTTCCGAAGGGCCCGGAATCGAATCTCGGAGGAGGCATAGATGTATATTGTCTTCCCCTTCACAGGACGTAACGGAGGTCCACCTATCAAGCGCCTCCATAATAAAGTGACCATTGCTTCTACCCTTAATAGTGGCTAATGCCTACAAGGGCAAGTGCCCGCCATTGAAAAAAAAAAAAAAAATACGGTTGTGTGTGTGTGTGTGTATATATATATATATGTAATAAAATGATTTGGAGTAAGCTGGAACAGACTGACGATAGTTCTCTGCGCTATATATTCTGGGGAGACATTAGTGTGTAGTTAGAAAGATGACACTCGAAGGAAAGACGTGTAGTCAGACGTGGTCGAAGTAAATATAACTTTCATTGGTGGATACGAACTAATTATCAAAACTTATTTTTCATTCCACATGATCATGGACGCAATATGCAACCCACAATTTTATATAGAGTATCACATTTTAGATAATGGCATGGTTAGCAACACCACAAAGCAAGAGGAGCGAAGTATCGTCTTTTATCTTCAGCTAAAAATGAAGTTAAAAATTAGCTAAAAATCAAGTAAAAATTGTTGCAAAAGATAGAACTAAATGTATGTTATCGTTGTTATTGCAACCAGTCGTATATCTAAGAAAGCAACTTCATAGGGGCCGAAGAGGGAGAAAATGGTTCTCAGTCCGCATGAAAATCGGAATTGATTATTTTACACAGTGTATACAATGTATCATGTGTTAGCAACACTTATGATACATGGAAAAGACACAAATCAATATAAAGTTTGGCAAAAACAGCCATAACATAAGTGTTAGCAACACTTATGATACATGGAAAAGACACAAATCAATATAAAGTTTGGCAAAAACAGCCATAAATTGCAGTATATTTATAAGGTATTTCTCCCGCCTTCTTAGCATGCCTTCGTAGCATGGTGGTCTGCACGCTGGGCGCGTATTCCAAAGGTCCGTGGTTCGATTCCCGGCGAAGGCGTTGCTCATTTTTCAATCTCTCTTGCTTCCAAAAAATCCTAATGTCTCTATATATTTTACATAAAACTTATCAATTTAAGTCCGACTGACACAGGTTTCTGTTTTAAAGAAGCAGAAAATTCTACCACATAAAATTCTTTGGTAATTCAAAAAGAAGAACTTATGTCAGTCGCTCTTGAAATCAATAGATTTTGATAAATTTTATGCCAGTCTAATATTTTTAAACATTTTTCGTTAATTTTATGTTACAATAACGGAGCAAATGTTTACAAAATTTAATAGTTATGCTTATTATAAAATATATGTATCATGTTTGCTATCATATCAGAGATATTACAGAAACGCAGGTATAAAATGAAAAATACGCATGTATGTCACTTTTAAATCATTCATTTAATTAAACAATACATAGTTTTAGCCTGAAATAAAATAATTTTAGCCTCGCCAAAAATTTTCTTATGTAAATAAACAGTAATTGCATTTTTGATTTACGCGCTTCGAGTTGCGAACGTTTCGCGGAAGTCTTGTATTTTTGTATATCGGTAGAAAAAACAACATCTATTTCTTCTTTTAAACAAGTTTCAGTTCTTTTGTCATCACTGTTATTACATAATGAAAAATCTGTATATATGTATGTTCCTCGAACTGCGGAAAAACGGCCGTACCAAGAGCCACCAAATTTTGATCATACGTAGTCTTCCACTCGAACATGTGTACCTCGAACCCGGAATTGTGAATTTCGAATTTGGTTTTCCTTCACTTCATATTTCGTAGAAATTTAATGAATTCTTAATTAATAAATTCGACGTTTTAAAATCGAGGAGAGGCAAAATGGAATGAAATAAAACACTTTTATCTCAGCTCGCCAGATGATTGATAAAATGCATATTTAACTTTCAGCTTTGATCAAGAACTCATCTACTTAAAAGCAGTGTGTATCCTATCTAACTGGTATACACCTTGTTGTTTGCATTTCTAATATACGTTCCACACGCCGTGCCATTCCAGCCAGTGTTTCGAAAGGATCTCTCCTTGGACCCCCGTTATTTAACATTTATGTGAAAGATGTTTCACAGTTACTAAACACTATACTAGGAATATACACAAATGATACAGCATTCCTTGCATAAAATACATTTTTGAGGCTAGTCATACACAAAATCACATGTAAGCCCTTGCGGCTAATCAAGGGAAAATGCAGATAAATATTGAAAAGCAGTGCCAATCCCATTCAAAGAAAGAGCAAAGATAAACTAGAATTTACAGCTTTATGGAAGTAAACCTCTCCTCTGGGTTACGCAAGCCTCTTATCTCGCTGTTATCCTCGCTAATACTCTCAAAAGAGCCCCCACACATTACATCTATTATTCAGAAGTTTTCAGCGCGTAAAGCTAGACTCTTCCTCCTAACTGCTCGAAACAGCGATCTTTCTGTAACCCTAAACTACTCGTTAACAAAGCCACCTTGCTTTCCAAGTTATGCTATGCCTGCCCTGTCTGGAAATACTCAAGCCGCGCTAATCGAAAGCAACTAAAGACTGCGCAAAATATTGTTCTTTGACAAATATTCAATGAACCTTAGTATATTCGTAATAATGAAATACGTAAAGAATTCAATGTTGTGCAGCTTAGAAGTATATACTATAAACTAGACAAGGAATTTCTTGAAAAATCTCCGTTATGCTGCAAAACTTCCCAGGGTGATCCTAAATGTAAATATGGCCCTAAAGGCAGCGATTATTAGTTGCGTTGCTTACATTTATTACTTATGGGTACCAAAATGTAAACCTAATGAAACTTCTAAATGTTTGGACTTAACATCTTACCACGATTGGCATTCTTTGAAATGACATGATTAAAAAAACAAATTATTCGACAGGAATAGTGCTCCGAGCACAGGTACCCTGGCGACTGTACTCTTCCATGTTGTCAGAAATAAAATACCTTATCTTCCACGCTCCAGCATTCTGGTATTCAGTAAAGCGTAAGATATATTTAATTTTAAAATTTAATCTTTTATCAAATAACAAACAAAGCGATTTAAAAGCAATGAACGCAGTTTTTAAAATTTTTTTTTTCTACTTTTTAATCTGTTTGATATAAATAAAAATGCATTTAAATCACGAGATATCTAATCAGAAATATTAAATATTTTTATGAAATTACAGGAGCTGGACTCATTAAGATCTTTATGATAACTATTTCGGACGTCCGGGATTGCCTTTCATTTAGTCCTTCACGCATGAGACTCTTAAAACTAATGCGAAGAAAGTAAAGACTAAAATTCCAATATATATCAATGAAAATTCCGAAAATCTTACCTGCAAATCTAGAGACACCGCCCTTTCCAAGATGGCTGAAATGGACGCCTTTTTATTGGCTCCATGATCCAACTTTGTCAGATCTCCCAGAGAGGACGCTTTTCTTTTACCTGGACTCGATTGTTCTTCTTTTTGAGGAGAATTTCTCCCATTTACATGTGCAGAGTTAATAGAGGATTCAACCTTTTGGTCCGAAACTTTAGAGGGAGGAATGAAATCTGGTAAGTCAGATGCTGGCGCAAGTTCAGATGCATTGCTCTCCTTTTGGCTCGATTCGAATGCTATCTTCTAACAAAAATAATTAAATATTAATTTCAGATATAAAATAGTATAAATTTTATTTTAATGTTTTGTTTAAATTCTAATGCATCTAATGTTTAATTTCTAATGCAGAGTTTTACTGTACAGCTATCAGAATATGCGAATGAAAGAAAAAATAGTGCACAATTATTTTACACAGTACATTAAAAATACAAAGCCAAAGTGCTTAGGGTGACAATAAATGTATCTTCGTGGATGTGCGCAGAGTTTTTTTAGAAAGATTGTACGATTTATTATTTCTGAAACATGGATCGTAAATCAGTTCTTGCAATTTAGAAAATGAATCAAATGAATTAGTTGTTCTCATAACGATAATTTCGATTGCGTGATAACGTTTATGAAAAGTATAGAAAAATAAAACTTTTACAAGTGCCTTCTACAAAGAAAGTTTCAATAAGTAATCCCTTACACTGTAAGTGGAATTTTTTTAGTAAGTGTAGGTGGAGTTCTTAATAAAAGTGCTCAAAACGCTATAAACTTTATGTTTTAAAATAATTTCACTTTGAAAAAAAAAATGATGGAAGCATCAATTTTAGAGCTCCACAAGAAAATGAATTATGTCAGACTTAAAATATTTTTATCTATAAAAAATGGTGAAAACATAAGTTTTAAAAACCCACGTTAAAAATTCAATTATGTTATATAAAAAATGTTCAAATTTTAGCTTTTCTACAAATAAGAATTTTGAAATCAAATTTTATGCCCAGATATTAAATTTTGTAAAATTTGGCGAGAAATTTAAACTCACCGAGAAATTTAAGTATTTATCTTGGCGATTCGAAGAATAAAATTATGCTTAAGTTCCAAGATTTGTAAAAATTTACCAGTAGTTTTTAAAAAATTAGCTCTCAAAATTTTTAGCTCTACACTGTTAATTAAATTTAATATATATTTATCAATATCGGTTTTTTATTAAAACTTACTTGATTCTTTCTTTGGCAGTTCGAAATTTAGGTTCAATCCAAAAAAAAATTCGCAGCTATTTTCTGATTTGTTTAAAAATTTGTATATTTTAGTAATTTTTATAAACTTTGCGAAATTTTTTGAACTCTAATATCCAGAAGTTTTGCAAACATCTTAAGGTAGATAGATATATTTTTAAGCTACCTACAAAAAATTTAAGTTTTCTTATTCAGGATTTCCTAAGATATATGCGAACTAGCGTGTTTGAAATTTGGAAAATTTGTTATAAGGGATAACAACTTCAAATGCGATTTACGCACTGTAACAGCTTTAAATGTTATTAAAATCTTTTAGTTTAAAATAAATAATTTAATTAGATGAACATTAAGGTATATGTGAATGGCAATGTTTGAAACGCAGGCTCGAGTGCCACGTGCGGCTCTCGCACGAAGAATGTAATTTATTTTTAAATGTTAGAATTCTTTCTTCTTTTTGTTTTGTATGTCGCCATTTTGAGTGATAAATAAAGTTTTTTCTGTGTTCTATCAATGGAGTTTGCTTCATATTGCGAAAGAAGTATCACAGTCTTAATTATTTTGGAGGCACCGACCGATATCAAATAATCGTGCGTATTTGTATTTTATTAGTTCATCACTGAACATAAATAATATTAGTGATACCAGATTATTACTTCCTGTTAATATTGAATTGCTTTATGTTATTAGTTCATCACTAAACGGAATATTAATGATATCAAATTATTACTTCCTGTTAATATTGAATTGTCTTACTTTATTACCGTATTGGATATTATTTTTAATATTCATTTTAGTTGTCCAGACAGTAGACATATATATTGCTCTTTGTTGTTATTCTTATTTTAGTCACAATTAATGTGGCAGAGAGTATGAACTTTATATAATTTAAATATTTCATTTTGAGGTATACGTATTTAACAGAGTGCATTTAACTCCGTGATTCATGTTTTCATTAATTAAACAAATTGATTTGAGCTACTTTGAGGAAGTATAAAGAACACAGTGTTCCTTAATTTTAAACATAGAAACAATGTCTTACTTAGGATGAGCTCGTAAGGAAGATTTGCAAAATCTCGCTGCTGAACTTGGAGTTCATGTGACTGCAAATTTGAAAATAGTCGATTTAAAACAGAAAATTGTTGAAAGTAGAGATTATGATGAAGTATTCGTCAAAGGAGTCTTAGACACAATAATACAAGAACGAAAAGAGATGGATGAAAGAGAAGAACGTAGGAGGCAGGAAGAAGCAGAAGAGCGGAGAAGGAAAGAACAATATGAATTAGAGCGATTAAGACTTGAAGCGGAGACAGTCTCAAAATACCGGACAGATCCGGCCGAAAACGGAGCTGCGTCACCTTATGCAGAAATTCGATGACAAGAAAGGAGATATCAGTCTATATTTGCTATTGTTTGAAAGGCAAGCAGAATTGATAAATAAGAATTTGTATCTCATTTACTAGGACTACTTCCTTGCGAAATAACCCAGTTAATAGCTAGAAAATCCTCCGGTAAAGCTAAAGACTTTGAACATGTGAAGAATTTATTGTTAAGACGGTTTAAATTAAGCCCGGAAATGTTTAGGCAGAAATTTATGAAACATCAAAAGAGTACCGAATCCACATGGGTGGATTTCAACTATGAAATAGAAAATTATTGCAAAGAATGGGTGACTGGTCTAGGAGTTGAGACTTTTGATCCGTTGCTAGATTTGATGGCATTTGACCAACTTAAACGTCGAGTTCCTCCTGAAATTCGAGATCATTTTCTTGATGAGTGGGTAGAGATGATTTCATCTAAAAAATTAGCTGAAAAACTTGATGCCTATGAAAACGTTCGCGGAAACTTTCAAAAAAGGCCTGTAGTGGAGAGGCAGGAAGAAAGATACAATGCACTAACTCAAGGTAAAGTGAGTTCAGATAATAAAAATAAAAAAAATAAAAAAAAAAAAAAAAAAAAAAAAAAAAAAAAGTCATCAGGATTTAATTCGCAAAGCTGGTTTCGTAGACCTAGAAGTCCACGTCCAGATGATAAATATGAAAAACGAAAGTGCTACCACAATGCTATCAGTGTGAATCCTATCAACATTTAAGACCCCAATGTCCAAAACTTAAGAATAGTACTGAATCTCCTGCTAATCTTAACAGAATTAGTGCAAAACCAGAGGATAAATTTCTAATACCTTATACTAATACGGGTTACGTAAATGGTCATAATATTCCTATATTAAGGGATTCATGTGCTAGTATTGATATAGTTTGTCTGAAATACATCACACCGGAAATGCTGACAGGTGAAAATGTGTGGGTGCAACAACCATTAGATTTGAATCCAAACTGTTTACCATCGGCTGAAATCGAACTAAATTGCGACTTGGGCGAGTAATAACTAAGGCTGCCATTATTAGAAATTAACTCGACAAAGGAAGGTATTTATTAGGCAATCGAACCTTTGCATTGTTGAATAAATAAATCAAGGAACCTGATAGTCATCCTCACCAGGTTTCATTTCATGCCGTCTCTACTAGAGCTCAAAGGAAAAGAAAAATAGTTGAAGAGAAGATCTTGGAACTGATGAAGGAAGAAAATAAAGCATCCAGAGATGTCTTTGAAGAAGAAGTTAATTTACCGCCGCAACAAATACGGAAGATGAAGCCCTCATGAAACTGGTAAACATTGACTCAAAAGAAGTTGCACAACTTCAGCTTATTGATAAGGAACTGTCTAAAATCATCCAAGAAATTAAAGAAGGTACATGCAAAAATGAGAACTATAGTCTGACAAGAAAAGAGCTTTTAGTTAAAAAAACGACGGATAAAATGGGCTTTGAAGGAAGCTTGTAGTTATACCTGAAAAACTCAAGCCGTCAATTATAAAGATGTCTCACGAAGGAACTTCTGGTCATTTGGGTGTCAAAAAGATCAAAGACAGAGTTGCTAGATATTTTTAATGGACGAGGTGTTACAAAGAAACGGAAGATTTTTTAAAAACCTGTGATGCTTGTCAGCGCGCTGGAAAAGGAAATGACAAAAAGAAGGCTCCAATGACATTAGTACCAGCCATTTCTGAAATATTCACTAAAATAAATGTCGATGCTGATGGTCCGCTACCTATTTCAAAGACTGGAAAAAAATATATTATTACAGCTCTGTGTATGTCGTCCAAATATCCAGATGCTGTTGCGGTGACAGACATTTCTTCGCCATCTGTGATTGATGCATTCTTACAGATTTTTTAAAAATCAAATTAAAAAAATAAATCATAAACAATATGCGAATTATATTTGGATTAAGCGTAAATTCTGGAAGAAGGAATCTATAAGTTTAATAAATACATAAAAAAAAAGAGATCAATAAATATATGTCAAATTCAATTAATATTTGAGGAGCTAAAATTTAAAGTTTTGAAAGCTAATGTTTCAAAAACTACTCGTGTGATTTTTAGAAAACTTGGCAGTTTGGCATAATTTGAGCCGTAGAATCGAAATATGTAAAAAAAATTTGTCATGTTACTTCAGATAAATTCCGATTTTGTGTCATAATACCTATATTAGGAGATATAAAGAAATCTAATATATATTCTAAGTCGCGCTTTCGAGACATGAAGAAAACGTAATTCAAATTTCGTCAATCGGCCAAGTAGAACGGGAGATATAGGAACTGTACATCCCCCCCCCAGTGTACATGTCTAGCATAGTGCTTAAGGAAATAAAGCCATCTCTTCCGAATACCCTGTGCCAATTTGACAGTACTGTCGGAAGAATAGTAAGAGAGAATTTAAATTTACCTCGGTTTCTGGTAATTGCTGTTGCTGATCATCTACTCTATGCACAACAACTGAAGTTTCATTTTTAGTAGGTGGAACGGGAGGAGGAGCTGGTGCTCTTCTTTTTGCGGGTGTGCTGGTCTTGCGTGGGGGTGCTGTTGGCTTTTCACCTTCAGTATCTACTTCAGATGTCGTTATTACTTCTTCGGTTGAGATTGTAACAACATTTTCATCCGAGGGAGCTTCTTTAGATGTGTCCAGACTTTTGTCCTCGTCAGCAGCATCTTATAATAAAAAATAATTATCACTTCATTTGCGAAATACCACTTCCTAATGCTAGATAGAATATTTTATTTTTACTTTTAAAAGACAATTTCAGCAAATTGTTCATATACACTCTTAGAAAAAAAAAAAAAAAAAAAAAAAAAAAAGACGCACCACTACGCACCGAGAAGATATAAAAAGCAAATTGGACACAAATTGATATGAATACAGGTTTCGACGGAAAATGCAAAATTTTACATTTTGGCTGCCAGGGAATGAATGATTGTCGCTACAGCGGCATCTGATCTGCGCAACTGGCAGGATATTTAAGACGAGAAATTACGTCACGAATTTCATTCCGTGTACTCTGGTAGACAGTAACTATGCCTCGCATACAGGTGCGCGAACGCAGATGTCAGAATTTGAGAGAGCTCGTGTAGTTGGGCTCAAAGAAACCGCTTGGTCTTATCGGCGAATGGCTCGATATTTGAGCAGGAGCGATGCCACTATTAGACGATGTTAGCAGGAATAGGTGAACCATGGCTGAACACAGCGTCAAGAAGGAAGCGGTAGGCCTAGAGAAAAGGCAGAACGTGAAGACCGAGCAATCGTCAGAGTGGTCCTCAGAGCCCCAGCGACTGTACGTGCAACTAGTGCTTCAGTGACCGCAAGGACCCTTCATAGACGGCTCACAGAAAGGGGACTGATGTCACGGCGCCCCTTGCGCCGACTAAAATTGACCTCTGTACAACGTCAAGCCCGTTTGCAGTGGTTTAGGGCTCATTCGCACTGGAATGTCACTGACTGGAGTAGAATAGTATTCAGTGATAAGTCCCGCTTTGAACTGAGCCCCGATGACCAGCGAAGGCGAGTCTGTAGACGCCCCGGACAGCGGTGTGATACCAAACTGACTGTCTTCCCGCACACAGGCCGACAACCAGGAGTGATGGTCTGGGGTGCCATTTCATAGTAGGACCCCTTTGGTTGTCATCCGTCGCAACTTTACAGCACAGCGGTACGTGGAAGAAGTTCTAAGGCCCATTGTGTTGCCCTTCATGTCACGCCACCCTGGGTTACATTTCAGCAAGATAATGCCCGCCCCTACACTGCACATGTTTCTACTGCTTGCATCAGTGCTTGCCGAACATTACCTTGGCCGGCAAGGGTGCCGGATCTCTCTCATATTGAGCACGTTTGGAGCATTATGGGCAGGGGCCTCCAACCAGCTCCGGGATGTTGACGGTCTAACGTGCCACTTGGACAGATTGTCGCACGATATCCCTCAGGAGGACATCCACAACCTTTATCAATCGATGCCAAGCCGAATAACTGCTTGCAAAAGGGCCAGAGGTGGACAAACGCGTTATTGTTTTGTGAAGCTCTATCACTTCAAGAAATCATCCAATTTTTCTCAAACAAACTGTAATAATTTGTTTTTCTGTACATGTACATCACTTCTACCGATTTTTGTCCCATTCGGATAACACCTTCTCGGTGCGGTTTTTTTTTTTTTTTTTTTTTTTTTTTTTTTTTTTTTTTTTCCGTCTATGAGTGTATATTAGCAACCTGAAACAATACATACATTATGTAGCCAATGAAGAAGTAAAAAGTAGGAAATTGCGAAATTTATCATTTATGAGGCGAAGTTTATCTCGTTATTTTTATTTTGCTGTTTTAAAAGTATGAATAACATTTTTTTTTTATCTAAAACTTTCACATTTTAACTATTTAACAGTTATTAAAAATTCTTTTTTAATATTATTTTATATAAGAAATAAACTTTTAAGACTATTTCTGAATTTATAAAAAATTACAAGTGAAGCTTAATGAATAAAAATAAGCGATTTGCATTTTCTGTTAAACATAAAAAGACTAAACACATTTTCACATGATTTTTGATGAGGATAAACAATTCAGTCTTCGAAATCTTCAGGTTGCAGTCCAGGTCATTACATACTGATTTCAAATTGGCTTTTATATATTATATTACTTTCTAATTATAACGGTAACGTTACGTTCATTACCTTTGATAAAATTATGTAAATATACAAATCCTGCAATATATATATATATATAATATTCGCAATTAAGGGAGAAATCTACCTAAAAATTGGCGCTATGCAATATGCTTTGTATGTTGTGCAAGATTTATGATCTCAACATAAGTTGCCTTTTAACCGTTTGAGTTATCGCGCTTCACTTGTCCCGCATGCCAAAAATACGGCGCAGCGCGATAGCGCTTCTCTTGTTTTGTATCGAGAATGCGAAGACGCTGCTGTTGGTTAGTCTACTTTACGCAATTATTGAGAGCAGTTGTAGTGATATCAGTAGCAGTTGTTTTATAGGAATTGGAAATTGTTTTCATTTTTTTTACCAAGTGTTATACTGATAATTACGAAATAACCCATGTCAAGTTCTGATTCATTTGAAAGTGACTATGTTATGAGAAGTGATAATGAAGAGTAATGACCTTGAAAGTGATAGTGGAAGTGACATCATCATTCGTTCTAAGAGATTACGAGTTATTAGTGATAGCAGTGATGATGATGAAGTAACAAGTACCTCCGATGACGATATTATTGATGAGTTTTTACCCTAGGATACAATTTTTTCGAACGAATCGAATACTTTTTCTGAAGTACCTGGAACAAAGCATGCCCCTCCACCTGATGCGAAAGCAATTGAATATTTCAATAATTTTTTTTCAATTTTCAATTTTTTTTTCAAGTATACTAACCAACAGCAGCGTCTTCGCATTCTCGATACAAAACAAGAGAAGCGCTATCGCGCTGCGCCGTATTTTTGGCATACGGACAAGTGAAGCGCGCGCCGGACTCAAACAGTTAAATACATAAATCAGGATTTTCAGCCAGGATGGAATTGGGAGTTTTATACTACTTTCAGGGATAAAACGCGGTTAGACTTTTATTTAGCCATTAAATCATACAATTTTAATAAGTAATTAATAGTAATTTATGTTAATATTGATTTAGCAATTTAGTTCATGAATATAAAAACTACTTTTATTTAAGTTTTGGTGTTTATCAACATTTTCTTCACCTTCTTGTTGTTTAATTTATAAAAATATATTAAAAAAACAATCTAAATCGAAATACACTGCTGAACACTTGTCAAGGATGAATCTCAAATTGCAGTGTAGCATAACATTAAACGGAGGTGGACGCTAAGCAGGATAAAATATTGCTGCCAAACTCTTCAGGCATTAGAATAATGGATACTTATTGTTCAGGAAAATACAGAAGATTTCGAAACATCCAAAAGTAAAACAATATTTTTATAATGTTGTGTACGGCGATATGGAAAAATGCACATGAACGAGAGAAGGCACGTTCGAGAAAGGCGCCAGGAACGGGATATACAGTGGATGGACAAAAATATGGAAACACCTTGTGAAATGCATGTTTGAAAAGAAAGATTGATTTTAATGAAATATGTCGGTGGCGCTGGCGTTTTGACTACTGACGCCACCTATACAACTTCGTAAATGTGCTAAACAGTTCAGTTGTTGTCGGAGTACTGTTATGTGAGGTTGTCATTGCATTATGTCAGAGTTAACAGACTTCGAACGTGGCCAAATTGTTGGAGCACGTATGGTAGGTGCTTCCGTAAGCAAGGTAGCCGAGGTGCTTAGTGTTTCAAGAGGTACTGTATCGAAGATTTATTCCGCATATTTGAAAAGCGGAAAAACATCATCTGCTAAATCACAGCGCGGACGAAAGTGTGTCCTGAGTGATCGTGACAGACGATCATTAAGGGCAATTGTGACGAAAAATAAGAAGACCACAGCTGCAAAAGTTACTGCTGAAATGAATGTTGTGTTTACCGAACCCTGCGAGTACCAAAACAATTAGAAGGGAGCTTCATAAACAGGGAATTGCTGGCCGTGCTGCAATTGAGAAGCCACTCATCAGTGATGCTAATGCCCGTAACAGGAAAAGGTGGTGTTTAAGTCATAAAGCCTGGACTATAGAGCAGTGGAAGCGAGTAATATGGTCTGACGAGTCTTCTTTCACATTGTTTCCCACTTCTGGCCGAGTTTACGTCTGGAGAACGCCATCTCAAGCCTATAATACAGACTGGTTGTTGCCAAGAGTGAAACATGGCGGGGGTTCTGTTATGGTTTGGGCAGCCGGTTCTCTGCTAGCCCCATGATAACTGTGTCAGGGCACATGACTGCCAAGACTTATGTGAACATATTGGCCGATCAAGTTCACAAACTTTGTTCCCCGATGGTGATGGTGTCTTCCAAGACGACAAAGCCCATGTTCACACAGCTCACATTGTCCAGGACTGGTTTTCTGAGCACGAGGATGAGTTGTCCCATCTCCCCTGGCCACCACAGTCACCAGACCTGAATATTATCGAACCTTTGTGGTCTACATTGGAACGGAAAGTGCGTTCTCGTAATCCACCGCCAACATCGTTATCTGAACTTGCCACCGTTTTGCAGGAAGAATGGTATAATATTCCCTTGGCAAACATACAGGACCTGTATTTATCCATTTCGAGAAGACTGCAAGCTGTTTTGGATGCCAACGGATTTCCTGCACCATATTAAGCAAAGAAACATGTTTTTTTAAAGGTGTTTCCATATTTTTGTCCAACCCCTGTATATTCACTGCGGAGTGTATTGGAACGTTCCAGAAGTCGCGTCATATTTTGTGAGACACTCTCCAGCAGCTGTTGAGGCAACTGATTCCACTCCTCTGTCAGTGCGCCAATGAGGGCGCTCTCGTTTATTGAAGGAAATTTTTGACCAGCAAGTCACCTTCCCAGAGCATCCCAAATGTTTTCAATGGGGTTTAGATTGCAGAGCGTGCTGATCATACGAGGCGTTGAGTATTCTTCCTATCTAGGCAATTCTTGAACAGTGCGTGTTCGATAACGTGGAGTGTTGTAGTCCATGAAAAGATTGTCACCGAAAGTACGACGGGAAAGGTGAGTACGAGACAGCAGAACTTCAGTCCCAGTTGCAACCACATGTAAGAACGTGCAACCATAGATCATGATACCCACACATACTTATGATACTGTATCTCGGATGTCGGTCCCTTTCCTGTACATTTTCTGGGCGATAAGCAATACCATTCTCACGGTAGATCGATTGGTGTCTACAATCTGATAACAGACTGACCCAGTCTACTCTAATTTGAGAATAATGTGCAAGTCGACTCTTGTTCAGTCCAATTGCGATGCCCGGGGAATCACTGCAAATAGGAGGTACGGTGCTGTCTGGACAAAGGGACACCAAACAACTTATTTTCGTGCGTATACTCCTCTTTCTCCCAAAAGTCTAGTTACAGTTTTTCAGATGATCCTCTGTCCTTTGGCAACAAGAAACTCGATGAGCTGTGATGCGCCGGTTTCTTTTTGCCGATAGAACAATGTACCAGTCTCCTGCAGGCATCGTACATCCAAGACGTTGACACATCCAAGACACAATCCCCCCAAGACGTTGCTACACGTTCTAGTTGTTTTAAATACCGTGACACAAAGCTGTGGGGGGATGTTGAACACCTTGACAACATCTATTAGTTTTTGCCTTTCTTCGATCTTTTCAATAATACAGCCACGCATAAAATCATCTAAGTGATGTAGGGAAGACACACCGAAACGTTTAAGATCGTCAATTATATACTTCCCCTAAAACTTTCAATTAATACAACAACCTGAAGTTATATTAACTCTCGCAAGATTGAAATCCTTTAAATCTTTTATCAGCGTTGTCGTATAGTTAACAAGTAGGGGAAAATGTACATTTGCAATCGTGCATCTCTTTTTACTGTTTCGCTCAATCATTAATTATATTTTTTCTCATTTTGCTTTCATTTTGTGGTAGTTGTGGGTGATAGTCCCAGCAACCTTAGCAACCAACCGCCTCAACCACCACCGTAGTAACCACAGCAGCAACCAACCACCTCCTTAGCAACCACCCACCTCCTCAGCAATTATCCAGGAGTGTAAATGTACATGTATTTTTCGAGTCTGGGAAAGAAGGGGAAAATGATCTAGGAATGGTGGAAAGGACGTATGAAGCAAAAAAGGTTGAGAACCATATATAATATAAGATTGCTTTATTAATCTCTCCTTTCGTTGAAGTCCTTTTAAAAGCTACTGAAAGCTATGTTCAAAATACTCAATAACCAATAGCAAGTATTCTAATGTTTCTGCTGGCATCTTATCCAAAGTTTGAATAACAAAGCAAACATTTTAGTCAAGTTTTGATTAATTAAAGATAAATTACAGCAATGAATCAAATTACCTGTTTGCTTAACTTGTTTATCCTCGATGACTTCTCTTGCTGGTTTAGTTGGTGGCTGATGTTTCGGTTGTAATGATGGAGCTTCTGACTTGACATGAATTTGCTCTACTCGGAACCGTGAGCTTTTTGTTTCTTTCTGAATGGGCACAGGCTCTTCTTTGGGTGGAGCTATTATCAAAAACGCTATTATCACATTCAATGCTAATTGTTACAAACAAGACTGTTTCTCTATTTTCTAAATAAGTTATTTCATAGAAATTTACTTTAATTCTAGAAAAACTCCCATTCTTAAAGTGGATGTGTTTCTGAAAATTAAGTAACCTCCATAATCAGAAATATACATCATAATATTGATTAGTTGGAGACTTATAATAACCAGCGTAAAAGATAAATGGAGAACAATTCTCCAAAAGAAGCTGTATAATTTTTATCTTAAATTTAGCACTAGGAAACGTTAATCGTCAGATTCGACTTAAGTCACTGAACCAGTTGTCGAACAAATGGTGAGTGTTCCCAAACGAAATTCATATTTGACTTCCCTTTACCAGTGGTATTGCTTAAAGCTTTGATTTACTTCGGCAAGATTACTGGGCTAGATTATTTGAGCTATGGAAAAGCACACAGTTACATCTAAACTCTGGACTCCCAGCGCTATCTAGCGAACTTTAGAATAATCTTTAAGAAAAAAAAAAAAAATCTGAAAGGTTTCAGATTTTAAATTACGTCCAAAGGGGCTTTTTTTAACGTTTTGTGTGTTACCTTTATTTATTAAATATCATCTTCTTTGCATTTAAACCATAAAATTCAGTTCAAGAGCAATGTAGCAAAATAATTTTAAAATGAGCATGCCTTTAGAATTAAAAGAAATGCTTATTACCCTATCTTCTTCCAGGCAAGTGTCTCTATGCTGGGTTCGTAGTCATCAAAGTACCCAAGGTAATGAAGGGGGCGGCTCTTTAGCTAAATAAGCCACAAGTCACCCTTTCATCGACTTAAAGATTCCACTTTCCATAGTCCCTGCCAAACACAAGATCATCTGCGCCTTCATGTCCATATGCAAGCTCGCTGGGACGACTCAGTTCATCGGTCGACACACCTACTCCATCTTTCCCGTGATCTAAACCAAAAGGCTCAAAACAGATTTCTATCTACAACAAGCTTTCACAAATCACGGAAGATTTCCCGTGTACCTCAGCAAGTTCTGCTATTAAAACGTAAAATCCGCCTGCAGTGCTTCAGCTTCTTCAGCAGACGTTTCACATTACATCCACGAATGTCCAGTCACTTCTCCCATCAGAGCCTTCCTTCCTCAGCTCCAGGGATAGCATAGCTTCAAAGACTTTTTCTTCAGGATTACTACGGACAGCGGGGCGTCAGAACTATCATGGAATATGTCTATTCTAAGAGTAACATAATCATAGCAGATAACCAGGTCTGGGCACCTGACGAAATGTAAAGACATGAAGCCTCTACTCATATATGTAAATATCTCTAAACTAACTAACCCTTTTTGATAATTTTATACTAACATTCCCAAAAAATTGTAACTTGGAGCACGCAACAAAAGTAATAACTAATGTTAAATCTGTTTATCAATAATAAGATTGAAAAGATAAACAACCAAAAAAAGGTTGCTGGTGCAACGATCAGAATAACATGACTGACCTGTAGTACCCATTGAGAGGTGAGGCAGGTTTAATAATAATAAATAAATAAATCTCTCCTGCTTCGAAATAACCTAATGTCTCTACAAGCTTATTAAATTATACGCACTTTTTGCTGCACTTCATGAAACTTATTTCCTCAAATTTCATTAGAGATACATTTCTAATTCAATCAATTCAGCTCTCACTTCGCGACAAGGGAAAAATAGCCTAAATTACCAGATACAGTTAAAAGAGTTAAGTAAACAATTTTTGCAATTAAAATTAATGTTTTTTCGCAAAAACAAGCAACTCCGCCAGTATGTTAGGAAATTGCAAATTGCTTAAACCTGAAAGATAAATTAAAGACTTTCTATTTTGCGCAATAGTACTGTTAGACTTGAGACAAACTCACTGTCGAGACTGCGTGGAAGATATAGGCACGCCATTTTTCACGCAGCGTCAACATTTGCCAAGGCAGTCTTTCGAACGCAGCGTACTCTAACGGTCTAAAATGTTTTCGAGAGCCTTCGAAATTTAATTAAGAAAATTTAAGTAAGGAAATTTATAACGTCAAAAAATCAAAATCGAATTTTGAAAAACCGTTACGAAGTGAACTCGAAAGTGTCAGAATAATTCTTTATTTCGTTATAATAATCTAGAATCAGAATATTATACGTTAATATATAATACGTTGTATAATATGTATGTAAATTATACGTTAATAATTTGCAGTACTGATGTACTGCCTTATTATTTGAAGGTACTTAACTGTGAAACAGCTGGAGATCGTCAAGCCAAACCTTACGGTTTAAATTTTTAATAATAAAAGTGTTCTTTAAGGCATGAATATGACAAACATTAGAATGAAATGAATTATAATTAAAGCAAATCGTTAATACTTTTCTATAAAACTGTATTTCAAAAATTCTAATATATGCAAGGAAATGCAATGAATTAGCTCCTTTGTTTTAGAAAGAACTGAAAATCGATAATTTGCTAAACACTCTCTTTTATTCAATAGGTTCATAATTACTTTATGAAAAAAAAATCGACCATCAAATTCTGCCATTTTTTTAAAAAATTTGTATGATAAGTTGGCTATGATGGTATCCTTAATAAAGTTCTGGCAATAAATTTTATTGCGATAGTTACTGTAACTATAATAACCAACCTTGTATTTTTTCAGGTGGTGGCGTTGTGACTGTTTTTCCAGTAGATTCACAACTGGACGTACTGGACTTGCGACTTCCCTTATTACTCGACAAACTCTTAGATGCAACCTCATCTGCATTCTTCAGAGCATAAGTGGACCTGTTTTTCATACCTCCATTGCTAGCCTCGACGCTTTGGGAGCGTTTGGGTGTTGCGGAAGATGTAGAATCTCTTTGGCTCCCTGCAAAATGCAAAATCAAGTAGATAAATTTGTATAGTTTCATAGTATTAAGATTTTACTCTTTCAAAAGCAAAAATATTTAATTTTAAGATGGATGAATAGAGAAGCCGTCTAAATATGCAAATTAGAGTTCAAAAGAAAAGAAACGAGGAATCAAGGAATACTTTAAAAATAAGTACTCAAGTCCATTGTAAAACATGAATAAGATATTTTTGTTTATATTGTACCAAGATATATATAAAGCGATTTAAATGATCAACGGTTTTAACAATACTTTACTCATCTTACTTTACTTATTTAGTCCTTTATCCAGCTTGAAGAACGATTATTTGGTTATCACAACGTATAGTAAGATTACCTAGTTGTAGGATGGATTATATTTGCATCACATTATAAAGAAAAACACGAAAACCACATGCAACTAACATATTCAGTGGCTGGTAATAGAATCCAAAGGGAATTCTTTAAACGAAACGTTTTCGCGACTTCAACCATTTGACCACTGATTGGTCTGTGCACGATATGTGAAATCATTATTATATTGGTTTTATGGTTTTAGTTGATTATGGCACATCATACTGGGGCTATCTGCCTACGGGGAGAGATGCCTTCGTGGAGGATTTTCTAAGTGAAACTAGCTCGTATAAAGGCTTTATTATATTGAACTAAAATCCTTTCTAGGTCCTAAGCACTTCTGCCCAAAATATATAAATATCAGTTAAAAAGGATTTTTATTTAGTTTTCTTTTGAAATACAGTGCAAGTAAAGTTGAATACTTAAGAAGACATATAGGAATTATTTGGAAAAAAATTAAGATAATTTTCCTTCGCAGTAAAATGTATGATTTTGGTTCTTTAGTGTTACAGCAGTTTTGGCAAGAAATGGGAGATAATGTGTTTCAGGATTGACGAGAAACACTGTTACCGACACACAAAAGCAATTCATTCAGTGTCTACGAATTCTTATTAAGATATTCAGCCAATAAAATAATGTGGAGACTTATAAATCCCTCTTTTTAAACTGGAAGAACGTCGCAGGGAGAGTATTGCCGCCACAACGGATTTTAAGTGGCATTTGCCGCAATGACAACGAATACTTTTTGGTTCAAGTGCCAAACCGAAATAAGAAAAATCCTCATGGAGAAAATTCAGAAGCACTGCTGAAATGGTTACAAAACTGGAAGAAGCTAGCTTCAGCAACTTTAAGGTGATTTAACTTTAAGGTGTAAGTACAATTTTGTGGATCCTAGTTACGTTCATACTCAGAAGGTAAAACGCTTGTGGTATCAGTGAAATGGCGCAACAAAATGCCACAGGCTCGCGATCACCTGAAACCTACATAGGATCGTCAGGCCAGCCGTGATAATATGTTTGAGGCATTAGTAGCAATTGAACTGTGGCCATCAGAAAATGATTGTTTAAATTGAATTTAGGGCTATGACTTCATATGCTGTTTATTTTAAATAAATTTCTCACAGAATTTTATTAAATAAAAAAATTCATTGGAAAAAATTTAAAGAAAACCTAAAGGATTTCAGATTTTAACGGTCGCCTAAAAGCACTTCTTAAAAGATTTTTGCTCTCGCTGATTCCCAGTCTGCCAATCTGCTGTCGCACTCGTTCCTACAAACCCATTTTTTTATTGTCTTTTTAGCTTTATTATTAAACACCATTTTCTTTGCACTTACCCCATATACAGTTCAACAGCAAAATTACAAAAATTTTAAAAGCAGTAAAGCAGAATAAGTTTAAAATTCCTGATGCAGTGCATATATTTTTCTGTTTATTTTTTTAGTCTTTTCTCAGTTCATCATATCAATGTTCGGTTTTCTTACTAAGATGGCTTTACAAAATTCTAAGAATACAGAGCCTAAGAATCCTGCTTTGAAAGAAAATATACAGTGCGTCCGTAAAGTCATGGCGCACTTTTGATCGGTCACAGGAAAGCTACAAAACAATAGAAATGTGAAATCTTCACCAAACAAAATAAAGTTTCATACCTATTCAGAGCAGTTCGATGTGGACTCCATTCATGCCGTCACAGTCTACTCCGCAAATAAAAATGTTCCTATCACTAAACTGTTCCACTGTAAATGTTCTCTATGCATCAGGCCACACCACACGTTCACTTTAGATCTGTTACGTTCATATTCTACGTGGGCATAAGGATTTTCAGCAGCCCGTATTCGGATGTTATGGCGATTAACATGTCCACTAACCGGGAATGTCGCCTCATTGCTAAACACAATGCTTTACAGTAATCGGTTATCACTGTCGACCTCATGAAGTATATCTGTAGCAAACGCAAATCGTTTAGGTCTATCCGTAGGTTTGATAGCGTGCAACAGCTGCAATTTGTAAGAGCTTCTTAGGTAACTCTTCCATACAGCCTCAACAGATTCGTCACTGACCGATGGCCTGCCAAAACGGGGTTTGTCCAACAAACTGCCGGTATCCTTCAACTGTTTATCCCACCGAATAATGTTATTTTTATGTGGTTGCGGTTTGTTGTACACGCGACGATATTCACGTTGCACTTTGGTCACGGATTCGAATTTGGCAAGCCACAGAGCACACTGAGCTTTTCTCTGTACGGTCCACATCTCGACTGGAGGGGCGTGGATGATCTGCTCCTTCGCAGTTCGAGGTGCTGTGCCATCACATGTGCGCGCATATGCTTGCACATAAAACTACGGAAACTTGGAGAATTTTCTTCTGTTTGGTGAAGATTTCACATTTCTATCTTGGTTTGCTACTTTACTATGACCGATCAAAAGTGCACCATGACCTTTACGGACGCACTGTATTTTCTTTTAACGGAAAAGTTTAGGAATAATTATAAATTATCTTAATGCAAATTTTAGACATTAGCCTGACCGTATACAATGATATAATTTTCAGAAAGCCATTTTAATGGAGGGGATCGTCTTACACGCGCTCTAGTATAGTATATACCGCTGCAAAATAATTTACGATACACCAGTAATTAGGTAACAATATATTTTTTCTAATGATTAAAAAAAATATCTGAACTAAATATTCTAAGCACCAGAGGAATTTCCCCCGAGGAAACTATCCTTCCCAATCTGCGTCAGGTCGTCAATCGACTGGCTTCTGTACAGAGGATGGAACAGTCTTCTTTGTCCACCACTTCTGAAGCTCGTAGATGCACCCAGTCTCTTGGGGGACGACGAGGGAAGATGGACAGCTCTCGCAACGCTGGACGAGGAAGAACTTTTTTCTATTTCCAGCTTAACGTCGTACGGCGAAGCATAGGACAGGATGGTCAATGCATCTTCGTATACCATGGCTCCAAATGAGACTGTCACACCAACAATTCGATCACCTTCGAACGAAAGACATAAAGTCAGGTGTACATAAAAAAATCACAAATGTTTGATATATCACAATAAAAAGTTTGTTAAAAATCATTTTTTTAACTGGATACTCCATGAGATCTGTATGAAGAATGTGAAAGTTTTCTGAAAGCTGTTGCAAAAAGTCGCATATGAGTGACTGCCTATCTATAGTTTCATCTTGATGAATAAGTGTTCTAAGATAATACTAATTAGTAAACTTCAAACTAAAAGTTTACTAATTAGTAAAGTTAAATCTGCAATCCATCTTCTGTACTGACCCTAGCACAGCCCGGAATTATTTCGTTCGTCCTTATTTTATGCCTCAGAATTATACCATTGATGAAATTCACTTTTATTTATGTTTTACCTGTGGATGAAAAATTTATGTTCCACTAACATTAGCTTTCCATTTCAGGTAAAAATATTCATAAGAAAGTACAAAAAAAAAGTGATATATCAATCAATTTGTATAGCCATTCAGACTGTTAAAGGCTATTAAATGATCAGAAATGAACGGCGTGTAGAAAATGAATCGTTATCTTGATTTTGAAATGTTCCGGGCTTATGATGTTCAACCAACTTCAACATCTTGACAGTGACTGAATCGCTAGTAATTAAGAAATGCGCTGCTAACGTATTATTATGGCAATCTCTTTAATTGCCTTTTCTGAAGCTGGAACTATGAACAACAATATATTTCAAAGGCTCAACAAACATTCCACAGCCGACTGAGACAACAGCATTATCAATCAACAACAAATATGATGGAAGACAAAATGGTTATGTAAAAAGGGGGAGTAATGGAGAGAGAAAAAAATATTATCAACTTTTTTGAAGTCGCTGCTCACTGACCTGCTTTTATCTTCCCAGATTCGGAGGCGGGCCCCCTGTGCAGGACGTCCTTCACGAAGATGCCATCCCTCATGTTGCCGCAGATGTTAAAGCCAAGGCCGGTGAAATCGTGACCTCGCAAAGGAACCGTAATGCGCTCCAGGTGCTGGAAATAAAGAATGCAAGCATTTTCCAATCAATTTATCTGTCTGGTTTAGGAAAACATGGAGCAGAATATGATGCAGACATACGAAAACTAAAACGCACTGAAATCCAAAACAGTCGATGCATTATTCACTAACCATAGTTTCTCAACATATAATTTTTTTTATTAGCTGGTTTTAAACATGTTGTTTTTAGTGTATGCATTAAATACACTTCATGCTTTAAAGATAAATAAAATGTTGCCCTTTTATTTATGGTAGCATAATAATAATAAATGAATACCGAATATATTCTGCACACCTCTACAAAAAATGTAGTATTTAAACAGATTGACAATATTTTGATAAATTTCGTCTGCATTAGTTTCATAACTGTAACGTAGATCTTAACCATCGACGGAAAACAGATAAGTGTTTATTTATTTATGTAAGAATTTTATTTATTAATTTAGAGAAATTTAAAAATTTATCTTGGCGCATTTTTTTGAATTTGGGCCAAGAATAAGTGACCAGGCGAAATTCTTAATTTATGGTAAATTTTCCTTTTCTTTTCATTGCACGAGCAGAAAATAAAAGGTTCATCATTCATTCTTTTCAATTAATTTTAGTAAAGTACTTAAATCGCATTTGGTGTTATTATCCCTTATAACAAATATGCCAATTTTCAAATATATATCAATTCACGTATGTCTTGGGAAATTTTGAATAAAAATCTCTAAATTTTGCAGTGATAATAAAAATATTATAAGTTATACTTCAAAAACCTTTTCGAAAAAAATTATAAAAATTTCTAAAAATGCAAATTTTGAAAACGAATCGGAAAATAGATGCGAAATTTGTTTGGACTAAACCTAAATTTCTTACTATGAAAGAAGGAATGAAGTAATTTTAATAGAAAAAGAGACATCAATTAATCTATATCAAATTCAATTAACACTGAGGAGCTAAAATTTTGAGACCTAATATTTAAAAAACTACTTGTGCGATGGTTTGGCATAATTTGAGTCGTAGAATCGAAATATGGAAAAAACTCGATATGTCCTGTCAGAAAACGTCCGATATTGTGTCAAAATATGTGTTATAAGATTACTCTATATAAATTTAATATATATCTTAAGTCTCGCTTTCAAGGCATGAAAACCGCAAATCAAATTTGATTCGTCGGCCCAGTAGAACGGGAGATATAGAACTGTCTCATTTATTTTTATGCAAGGTGTACAGTAAATATTTCGTAAACTTCAGAACCCTATTCAAAACAATAACTTAACAACAATTAAATTTTTCTGATGCTGCCAAATTCTAAAGTATGAAAACTTATTTTATTATGAAGGTACGCGCACTTTTATTTACATCATAATTAAAATATCGATTCGCAAAAATATTGAGAAGTGCAAGTCATCTCATAGGTGTGTCTTTCACACTAAAAACTTGTGCTTCTCAACAGCCGGGAAAAGAATAATATAGATTTACTGCAGTTAAACAAAATTTTTGTGCAAGTTTAACATAATATACACTCACGTTTGTGAAAATTGCAACACCATGAAGGACTTACGCGAGTGAGCTGAAATTTTCAGGAAATGCAAAGTAGCGCATGATATGCAAATGATTAGAATTGCAAATCCGTAGCGCATGCGTATGCTGAGCAGCGCCCTCTGAACGGCTGATGGATCCGAATAAATAGACGGCTGTAGCGAGGCGTGTATGGTTATCGGTGGTTATCTGCTAGTGGTAAACGTTAACTCAATCTGTACTTATGCCTCGTCGACGAAAGAGAGCGAGATTTGAACAACTTACAGAGTTTGAACGAGGGAGAATCATCGGCCTTCGTGAAGCTGGATTGTCGTATCGTGCAGTAGCCTCTCGTGTGCAGCGTAACAGCAGCACAGTGATGCGCGTTTGGAAGCAGTGGACGGACGAGTGTCGGACAACTCGGAAATCCGGGAGTGGACCCCGAAATGTGACGTCAGCTCGCGATGATAGACACCTGGTCCGCATGGCGCGGACGGACCGTACAGCTTCCTCTAGACAATTGGCAGCACTGTGGTCAATAGCTACAGGTTTTCATTGTGTGCTTCATCAATTCGTAGACGTCTGCTGCAGTGTGGACTGCGCGCACGGACTCCTTTATACAGGATCTCCCTAACGCACGACCATCGCCGCCTGCGGCTACAATGGGCCAATCAGCATAGAGACTGGCGTGCTGATTGGCAGCATGTCGTGTTTTCTGACGAATCCCGCTTTAATTTGTGGTACCATGATGGCCGCATTCGTGTCAGACGCTATGCCGGTGAACGCCACCTTCCGGAGTGCATTATCGAACGCCACAGTGGACGAACACCCGGAGTTATGGTCTGGTTCGCCATAGCATATCATAGACGATCTCAATTGCTACGAATTGTGGGCAATTGAACAGCAACCGGTATATCCGTGAAGTTCTACAGCCCGAAGCTGTTCCCTTCCTTCAAAGCTTGCCAGGCGCTGTATTTCAACAGGACAATGCCCGCCCTCATACTGCTCGGATTGTTAAATCCTTCTTTGCAGCGCAGCAGGTACAGCTTCTTCCTTGGCCTGCGTGTTCCTCGGATATGTCGCCAATTGAACATGTGTGGGATGTCATTGGTCGGCGTCTTGCTCGTGATCCTCGTCCTGTTGCGTCTGCAGACGAACTTTGGGTACGCGTACAAACGATATGGAATGCTCTTCCTCAGTCAGACATTCAAACTTTGTTTGACTCCATGCCACGTCGTGTAGCAGCACTTATTGCGGCGCGTGGTGGCCACACAAAATACTGATTCTGATCTCTTGTTCTTGTTTGTTTGCTTTGAACATTTAATCATTTATTTGTACCACTACCACTCAACTGTGTATTAAATTGCATTCAATTATGACGATTCCTTCTTGGTGTTGCAATTTTCACAAACGTGAGTGTATATCTGATGTTAGAATAAGCTTTATATATTTCCGTATATCATAATAACAAAACAGGTATACTTTCGTTAATCAGGGAATTTTCGGAGCTGAAAATTTTTGAAAGATGAAATGAGTAGGTCAATGTAAAATTTGAAAAAGCTTTCAGATTTTTAAAAAAATCATTTTTATTGTTATTTTTTTTAAATTACGGCGACACACACTGTGATCTGCCAGAGGAAGGGATGCAGTGTGAATTCGATCTCCGAACCTGCCGAATGCTAGCAGGACATGTTTCTCAGCTACACGGCGAAGGGCAAGAAGGCAGAAAATACCTTACAATCCTGTTACAGTTTATTGCATTTATCAATGAAGATAATTTTTTTCATAGCAATCATTCATCATTATGAGTAATGAATAGTTTCAGAACTTTAAATTCAATTGGAACTGGACTCAAATTCAATATGAACTGAATTTAGTTAGAGAAATTTTAAAATGAAACGTACGGATCTATGAATCAATAGTCTACATTTAAATGTAATGTCTTAAAATTATCGCATCTCCCGAAAAAATGCTATTTAGATTTCATTTTTAATGATTAAAGTTTAATCATTAAACTACTACTTTCGTAAAATAGAAACATTTATTGAAAAGCTGAAAAATGCAGCAATCTCTGAAGTTATTATTTCATCACAAATATTTCAAAATTGTAAACTAAATTCAGTGAACGATAGTGATTAAAACGATAGTGGCTAAAATAGAATCCTTTCTCAATAACGGGAGATCAAAGCTCTTGTTGGATAAAATGCAAGGAGTAACACTACTTTTCTAATTACAACTCGTCGGTGGTTTATAAATGAAAGACTCAAGAGACAAAACGTTAATTTAGCTGGAGAAAGGAATTTATCAAAATCATTTCTTTTAGAAAGCTAATAGGTAATTGAAATGACAAGCATTTTTACCTTAGTAGAATACTCCAAAAATGTTCCCCCCCCCCGTATGGTGGGCACCAGCCATTTTAGGTTTTGACCACTACTAACGCCAGAAATAGTGGTCATTTCATTATGGAGGCACCTAACAAACGTCCAGCGTTACCTCCGAAGATGAGAAAATTTACATCCGTACCTTCTCCGGGATTCGAACCCGGGACCTTTCGGTACAGTAGTCAGAGTCACTAAACACTTTCCCGTCTGTGCGGCACCCCAAAGATGCTAAAAGAAAATATTCAAAGGGAAAAAAAATTGAAATATAAAGCCAGTTACATTGATAAAGCGAAACAGAGTAAGTAAAGCTGAGTTATACAATCTTTAGATATGAAACGTTGTGATATTTGTGAAAAAAGATTTCAGGATATACTTCATATTAAAATAACGAATTGTCTGGTAGTAGAGATACTACACTGTCTTGGTAGTAGAAGTAAATTTCCCTCTAATTATAATCAACTTAAGTGAAAAAAATCTTTTATTCCTGGAAAAAATGACTATAAGGTAAAAAAAAATATATATATATATCTATACGTATATATATATATTTGCTTCTCTCATATAATACAGATGGCAGTTTATTAACTGTCATTTTTAGATTCTTTAAGAAGCCATATGAACAGATGCTTTTAGAAGCCATATGATTAGATGTTTACTACTTCGTACGATTGATAACTAAGAGCATTAGATTCGATCCGGAATAAAAGTAAACTCTGTTTACACCACAGATTACCAGGTGTATGATTCATAGAAAAAAAATTACAGGCGTAGATGTATAAAAATGTAAGACACCTGCTATGCTATTTTCTTGTCAATCTCAATTCAAAATGAACTTCTAAACAAGTTTGAAATGAAGTTTCCAAGCAAATACATGTGACACTTCTTACGCGAAATGATGCCAGCCTTTTTATTATTATTATTTTTATTTTTTATTTTCTGGGCGTGCATTTTGGCGTGCATTTTTGAAAACGACCTCTGATATATCCGTCACCTATCCCAGTAAAATATGATGATAAAAATCCCCCGCTCCTGCAATGTAAAAGATGATAACATTCTTGCATTATCTCACTTATATTGTTTCGTGACGACCTGCTTCTCCGGATTAAGAGAGAAAAAAAAGTGTTTTTATCGTTGATTCTCTTTTTCTAAATATTCTTCAGGAATTCGTACTCAAATACCTATTGCAGACACGAGGCATTTGGCGATAACAGTTAATCGTTATCATTTTGAAATAAACAGGTTGAATTCACTCAGGTGATCAGCCAACCGGTAACGATAAAATCAGATGCTACTGATCATCACTGCCTAAAACTAGTAATTCTAATAGTAGCTTATCAGATAAACACAACAGCAGATTCTTTGCGATAAAACATGATTTTTTTATTTCTTGTTCTTTATTAAACATCTACGTATTCATGGTCTTGAGCTGTAGAATCAAATAAAGTAGAGCCAGTTTATCCGAATTAATTGAGGCGGATATATTTCGGATAACACTTTTCGGATAATTCCATTTATGGTTTACCCGAAATGGAAATTATTCATACAAAAAGTGAAAAATGACAGAATTCTGAACACATTATTTTTGAAAATAGTTTTAATACATTTATTTGTGAATTGTTACACAAATTAAAAAAAAAAAGTCGAATTAAAAAAACGTCGAAACGAACCAGTTATTCTTAAAATATTTTCTAAAAAGCCAGGTTTCGAGTCTTCGGTTTCAATTATCATTTTCTTGATATTTTTATTATCAACGGGTTCTGGCATGTGTTTTTTTTTTTTTTTTCCTTTCTGGAATAGTTTTTTTGCTTCAGATCTGTTCGTTAAGTAGGGAAAATTAATACTTCAATTCTACAAAAATTTCTTCATTATTTTCCCAATACGTTTTTCTTTCCAAATTTGAATGAGTAATTCTGCATCATCATAACTTCCTCGCAATAACCTAAACCACGATAACTCGAAGAATATTCTACAAAGGGGATTATGTACTTTTGTTTAATTTCGTTAGCTTTTTACTGGATATTCTGAAATTATGTATGTGAATGTACGAAATGAAGTGGGAACCCAAATGATGTATATATATGATTTGAAACACTGAGATAATTTATTTCTTGGTCTATGTGCAGGGGCAAACTAGGTTAGTCTAACCGGTGAGGGCAATCTGAAAAAACGTACCGGCAGTTTTTTCGTGGTCTTTGTGCAGAGACAGACTGGGTTAGTGTAACCAGTGAGGGCAATTTGAAAAAACGTACCGGCACTTCTTCATGTTTTCCGTCGCTCCTCAAGAAGTAAGAATTCCATCGCACAAAGATGTCGACATTTTTTGAGCTGAAAACCTCTTGCAAAGTCACAAGAATGCTCCGATATAAGAGCACAAATGTGCCGGCACCCTTATGAAGTTTGGTATTATGAATAAAGCTACCTTTCATTAAGACTGCCAGGACACCCATATTAAGGTCTTAATCTTGGCAAACAATTGTCTACTTGTTGCATAAAGGTGCCGGAATCTTTATTACATTTTACGAATTTATACGGTAGATGGGACATAAAAATTCCTTGCTGTTATGCGATAAACTAAAGAATTAGATATAACAATTATGAATTTACTACCAGATAACAACGACGGGCTTAAGACGTTGAATTTAATATGGTTACCATTAGTTTTTCCTATGCGTTTATCGTTTTTCTTCCGCATTAATTCTACAATTATGATTAATTTTCGCTGTTTTTTAAACCATCAGTACCAGACAACAAAACAACATCCCACGCACGAGCGCCTCTGAACGTCATACGCAAGGGCGCCTAAATTTCTAACCGTATTTTTATTTTTATTTTTTTTTAATTTTTTTAACATCTATCTACAGGAGGGGATCAGGAAAAAATGAGCGTGCCTTGATTTCTTAGGGGACCTTCAATTCTATGTGATTTTTAATTAGCTAAAGAAGCTTATCCAACATAGAATACGCTTCCTTCATTACTTTTATTGGTTTTTCGTCGATTTTTCTTACTTTTTTCCCTTAAATACTCAAATCTTATTCATCTTATTCTGTATTAAAATACATTTCCCAATCTTCATAATTTCTACGAAGAATTACGGGACTTCATATCTTAGCTTGCATCATTGTTAGCTAAGATATGAAGTGATCACCATCACTTTTGGCACGTAGAATAGTTATCTACAGTTTCTTGTTTCAAAACTGGATTTTATTTATATCACAATACTAAAGCATTTCTTTGCAGATAATTTCTAAAGATACAGTATACTCTTTAATCCACATATCATGTTCAAGTTCAATACGGAGGACGTTTCAAAGAAATTAACAGAAAACAAAATTCACTGACCTTAGAAATGTAAGTGTCGTCCATGGTAGCTTTTTGCTTTTTCCCAGATGGATGGAAAACAGCATGGAAAGGCAAGCTGGAGAAAGGACGATTCTTCTTCTGTCCGCTTGTGCCATTGGACGCCTAAAAAGAGAATGTAAATGTAAAATATGTTTTGATAACATACTCCAATCTGGGATTTGTATTAAATCAAATTACCAATAATATGTATCTAGAACGATAAACAATTATGTAGCTTTGAATTATTAAAGGAACTTTTTAATTGGAACTATGACGTTAGACTCGTATCTTTTAGGAATGAAAATACGAATTCTGAAATTCCACCAAACCTTGAAACAGATTCTGTGTACGAAAATTCGAATCTTTGTGCGTTTTTCGACTTTCGAATTTTTTCGAATCCTAATCCAAAAAATCTGATGTAGGTACCACATGACTTTCTTGTATGGCCTATCAAATAATACAAATTTTGTGTAGCATTTCATTTAAACTTATTTCCTCGAATTTCATTAGAGATATATTTCTCATTCAATTAGTTCAGTTCTCAATTCGCGGCAAGACAAAAATGTATAAGAACTCAAAACACCTTCATTAAAAATTGTAAAATGCAGAAAAACATAAAACACCAAATACAGTTAAAACAGTTAAAAAAATTACAATTAAAATTAGAGTTCCTACCCCAAAACAAGCAATTCAGCCAGCGGGTAAGATGTCACATTTTTCGGTGCACAAAACTGAAAGTTTGCTTTTGATCCCAATCGGCAAAAAGACACTGAAGGTATAGACACTGATTTAATTCACTACACTACTATTTCAGATGCAAATAAATGGCGACTACGTCAGGCTTAGTAGCACTTAAACAACTTTTAAATTGTTGATAATTCTACAACTATTGCATGCAGATTAACTAACGACATAAAAATCTTAATCGGAACATAAGAACAACATAATCCAATCACTTTTAAAGCAAAGAACGCGTAATTTACTGAAGTATAAGAATTAAATACTGAGCTCAAGCCAGGTAACGGAGTGAGTATATATATATACTTTTAGTGCGACCGATTACAACTAGAAAGAGAGGTGCACAACTACGTGTTATAGCAATCTTATGTACAAAATTTCAGCGTTTTGAGACTACTCGTTTCTGAGTTATGGTGAAATACATACATACGTATCTGCGTACAGACGTCAAGGAAAAAGTCTCTTCTGAATCCATTTTCGATTCATTTTACAATCCATTTCGGCAAAAACAGTTTTTTATTCCGTCCTCGCGTACAGATGTCATGCAAAATTACAGTCGCGTACAGATGTCATGCGAATTGTTCAAATGGTTTCGAGAGCACTTGAAATGGATATTTTCGTTGAAATATAAAACACCGAAATTTTTCGCGATTACAGTACTTCCATTACTTCGTAAAAGGAAGTAAAAGCTACAGATAAGGAAAAAAGAAATTTCAAAATACTTGATAATCAACAAATTGTCAAATGTTTTTCAAGAACGGTTTCTCAAATCTTAGTCAAAACTAATAAAAATCTAAAATGCGTTACTCGTATACTAAAAAGCATGTAATAATCAAGATGGTTCTAGGTATCGTTGCGAGAACACGTTGGTTCACAATGCGAGAAACATATATACATTTATGCAGATTCTTCATTATTTAATTTTTTTTTAAAATATAATACAGGGCGATAATATTGGGTGGCAACGATTTGAAAAGTGAAACAACGCTTATAGTGAATCAACACAGAATGCCAAAATGAAATTAATAGTCCTTCTGGGCAAATTGTCCCTTTGGACTAATAACTATCTGAATTTTTGTCCTTTTTATACGGTCTCAAATTTGCCTGAAGTTGATGCTATTAATCCGACTGGAGGCAACAATTTCTCTATGTTGAAAGCCAATGATTTTCTCCTTTTGCCTTCCCCCTTTCGTAGAATGTATTAAATATACTATACATTAAATTAAAAAAAAACTTTTTAAAGAACAGTATTCGGTTAAATACATTAAAAAGAAAAAATAATTTTTGTAATTATCACAACATTCTTAGTGATATACGAGTATAACTAAAAATAAAAGTGTAGATGTTCGTGAAAGAATTTTAATGAGATATTAATAAAATTTTATGAAAAAATGCAAATGTTAGGTCAGAAATAACATGCGTAAGAATGATTACATCCAATTTTTTAAAAATTGTTCTTGATTCATGATGAAAACGAAATTTTTGTTTGGAATATGACTCGAGTTCGATGAGTCACGGTCGCGAGTACTACACTTGTTTATCTTTTTCGAGACAATACTACGACTGTCAATGAGGATCGGTTCGCATGCTGCTACTGTTCAACAAACAAGTCGCGCTCCAATTCTGGGAATTTTTGTGTTTTTCTTCGAGCAATTTTTTTTTAATTCATTAACAATGAGTTTTAGGAAAGTTAATGAGAAGAATCAAGCTAAGAAGAAAAATGTTAGCATCACCATGATGGTGAAAAAAGTGATCCTTGGAAAGTTTGAAAATGGCATGCGTGTCCAAAGTTTGGCTCTTGCATGCCATACTATAGCATCTACGATTGTGAAAACAAAAACACTATTTAAACCGGCTGACGTTGCGAAGGAGGCGAAGTTGAATTACTAAAAAAAGGTTATAGATGTTACAGCATGCTGAAAAATTGCTTTTGATTTGGATAGCAGAAAAAACTTTTAAACTTCTATATCTCCCGTTCAACTTGGCCAATTGACGAAATTCAAACTGCGTTTTTAATGTCTCGAAAGCGAGACTTAGAATACATATTAAATTTATATATAGCATCCTTCTAACGTAGGTATTTTGACTCAAAATCGGACTCTTTCTGAAATGACATGCCACTTTTTTCCTCCATACTTCAATTCTGCAACTCAAATTATGCCTAAGTATTAAATTTTGTAAAACTTGGTGTGAAATTTACGGAGAAATTCAAAAATTTATCTTGGTGCATTTTTTTTTCACTTTTCGTCAAGAATGATTTACTTAATTTATAGCAACTTATTTTCAAAAAAAGGAAATTTTTTCATTGTAAACGAGCAGGAAAAAAGTTATCGTTCATACTTTCAAATAATTTTAACAAAGTGCATAAACCCCATTTGGCGTTATTACCGCTCAAAGAAAAAGATGTCAAATTTCAAAACGCTCCAATATGTAAATTCATGTATAGCTTAGATAATTTTGAATAAAAAAGCTCTAATTTTTTGCAAGTGTGTTTAAAAATATCGGGTCAGTCCATAAGTTCGTGCGCATTAAGAATATGCATGGAATTCACTATGATGCATTTACTAAACCAATATAATTTCGAACCTGTTGAAACTTGTCATCGTTTGACTAACATATTAGTCAGTTCATCACAAACTTTCGTAAATATCGAACGCAATTTAGTACTCATAGATGATGAATATAGATAATCAGTACAAACGTGCTGTGCTACATTTTTAATTTTCGTGTGGTGAATCTGCCAGGTTTGCAGCGATAAAAATTAATAATGTACATGGTGAACACACTATTAGTGTAAGGACTGCCCAGAAATGGTTTAAAAATTTTTTTAAGTTGGAAAAAGCAGCATGAATGATGAACCCCGTTTCAGAACGTTTTGAGCTGTTAGAAGCACATCAAACGATTCATTCAGAAGTTTATAGTGAACGACTTTGCCGCCTAAACTCATAATGGATCAAGAAACGCCCACGATTGGCGAATATCAAGAAAGTGTTGTTTCATCATGACAACGCTAGACCGCATACGGCTCGAACAACGCTGCAAAAAATAAGTGAATTTAATTGGGAGCTTTTGCCACATCCTGCTTACTCCCCAGATATTGCCCCAAGTGATTTTAACTTATTTCGTGCCTTAAAAGTTTTTTTTTTACTGGGAAAAAAATTAAATTCTAAACAGGATGTACACAATGAACTTTCAAGTTTTTTTGCATCGAAAGCAGAGTCATTCTACAGCAATGGCATAACAAAGCTGCCAGTAAGATGGCGAGACATTGTAGATAATGGAGAAAAATATATAATTGATTAAAATGTTAAATTGTGTTTTTTATATTATTTAAAAATTTACCAAAAAAATGCGCATGAATTTATGGACTGACCCAATACGTCTACTATAAGATGATGTTAAAAATTTTAAACATCTTAAAAAATCGAAAAATTTATTCCAGAACGGGTGCGCTTAGCGCCAGTTTATCAGTGATATAGAAAACCTGTTTGTTACGGAAAATAACGAAATTTAAAAATCGGTACGACTGCTAATATTTTTAATGCAACTGCTACTTTGTGCGTCTCGATGTCAACGACTTACAAATTTTACGAATCGATCACGAAGCTAAACTGTTTGGAAAACATTACAAAAGTGCACTGAATTAAAGCCGAGGCTTTACAATTTTTTACGTCTCATTATTTAAGTCGTACTAAGTAAGTCGCCGTCTACTTTTTTTTTTTTTTCTATTCTAACGTTTTAAATAAAGGAAACTGTCTACTGCGTCAGCTATTGCCATTCACAGAACATAAAATCTTCGATTTGCCTTTCAAACTATGACAATACCTCTTTAATGGGACTTGCTGAACTATTTAAAAAGGTATTCCGTATATCTTAATATTATTACTTTTGTTCATAGTAATAAAAGACGTATCTAGTGGCTACAGAGTTTTGTTGTTTCTGAACTTCGCAGTATTACGTATGGAAAGGGCCGATAGGGTTACTTTATAATCTTAAAGCGTTAACATGGAAGCAGAAGATACAACTACATTAAAAAGATAAACAGAATGGCGTATCCCTCGTTCGCAGGTCTTTCAACGAGCATAATTCGAGCAGGAATGCAGCGTAACTACTCTAGAATTTTAATGCCCGTGAGTTTGACCTTGAACGCTTTGAAATGCAGGACGCATAGCTGCTTTTCCACCTCTGACCATCAACGTATTTTTATAAAAAAAAAAAAAAAAAAAAAGCCTCAATGAAAATAATGCGCACTCTGTTTGCGCTTACGTTTCCAAAATCAGCATATCAGTGTACGTATGTAATTATTATCCTCCATCTCTCATTTTAGCTTTGATGGAAAACGAAAATGCTAAACAAAAGGAGAGAAAATGCTAAGTAAAATATAT